TGCTCTTGGCAGCTCTGCATGAAAGTGAGACTCCGGGGGCTGCAATCACTGATTTGTTTGCACTCATCCAGGATCCCTTACACAGACATCATGTTTAGAGCTGCATTGCTCAAGGAAAGCATTCACCTCTAAGCTCCTGTCAGCTCAGGACCAGTTTGTTTCTGGGTCTCTTTAAGATCTCACAGATCACTTACGTTCTGACACAGCAGTTACAGCTTTAGGACTGCTGTGAGGTCTGAAGCTTGCCATGGGATGCTGCAAGCTGCCCTCTGCCCATAGGGGAGCATTGTGGGGTACACCAGGCTGCAGTGCTCCCCAGAACAACATGGCCATGGGCTGCTCCCCACAGTGTGGGTTTTCCCTTAAGCCTCAGGTCCCTGTGTTTGAGGAAGCTGTATGTGATGGGGACTTGGTAATGTGTGGGCATAAAACCTTCTGCCAGCAGTGGGGCACAGCAGTGATGTGGTGTTTTGCACATAATGCTCGTCCCATTTGGTGATGCGTGGCACAGCTGCACAGGGAGGTGGTGGAGTCACAATCAGTGGAGGTATTCAAGAAAAGGGTGGATGTTGCATTGAGTAACATGGCTTAGTGGGATGGTGGTGATGGGTTGATGGCTGGACTTCATGATCTTTTTGGTCTTTTCTACCTTAATGATTCAATGATTCACAAATGTCTGATGTAGTTGTTTATGGTAATAATACCAAAAGTCCTTGTGTGAAAGGAAACAAGAACCTATTTGCAATATATTTAACCTTGTCAGGTCTGCTTTGCCAAGTACGTTTGCCCTTCAGTGTGTCTACATGTGCAGCCCACACAACCATACCAAGCACTGTGATTGTCACCAGTTCCAGCACTGCTTTCTGGGATCTCCCCCTACCTGATTCCAGCTACATGCACGCATCGTAACTCACTTGTTCCACCTTTTGTATTTTTTCCAATCTCCTTGGTCTTCTGCCACTGTTAGAAACTCTCATGTAACTGCCTGTGTCCTGGATCTGAGATTTGTGAGGAAGACAAAGTACCCAGGACAAGCAGAGCACAGAGATAAGGTTGCACGCATTTTATACCAGTAGAGGAAATTGTGATCAGCGGTGGGTTTTTTTATTTATTATCTCACATCAGTAATTAATACAGCTGCTTGTGGATTTGTCTCAGCCAAGCGTGTCCCTGGCCAGACGCTGCTGTCTGCTGACAGCCCATGCAAAGTTGTAGGCTGGTCTCAGCTTCAGTCACTTTTTGGAGAGGTTTTAGCGGTGCTGAAGCTGTTTCAGAAGCGTTACAGCAATTTTGGCAGTGCTTGTTGCTGGCTGCCACTTCTGCAAAGGAGCTGGTAGCTTTTCTGACAGCCTTTTGCACTACGCAGCGTGGCTCGTGTGTCATTTACTTGGCTGTCTCGTTAAGCTTTTTCATCAGAGCTGCAGAGGGGGTGGGTGCTTGGGGCAGGCAGGGAGAGCACAGCAGCTCGGGGAGAACCTCTGCAGCACAGAATGGGGTTTGGGCTCCGTACAGTTCACATATCTCTCTGCACCAATTATAATCTGATCATCATTGTAACAGCGTTTTGAGAGTCACTGGGGTAGGAGAACACGGAATCTTTATTCTCTTTATTTGTATGCACTCAAGATTAGGAAACAACTGCAATGGAATTCTGGAAATCCTCGAAAGAATCACCAGAAAAACCCTGACGAAATCAGCCATGCTCAGAGAAAGCCCTTCTGTGGACCAAAACCCAATGTTATGTTAAAAACAAAAGTTTCTTCCCATTGTTCACCATCACTTGTATCTTGCCCAGCACCTCTCAGTCCCAGCCTGCATGGCCATGCTGTTGGCACTGCTGCTTTGTGGGTTGGCTCTGCATCTTCAGGTGTCCTTTTCCTTCCTCCACTACCCTGCTCCCTCCTGGGTGCTGGTCCACGTTTCTCCTCATAGCTGGGAACTAGAAAGGATTTGGGGAGATTTTCCTGAGGACAGAAAGCATTTGTGTCACCATTGCAGTGAGACAGTCCCTTACTGTGGGTTCTGGTGTGTCACTGAGATGGGGTACGTGTGGAAGTGATGGACCCAGCAGAGCACAAGGAGGGCAGCTTTGTGGCTGCTGGCACAGCAACAGGAAAGGCTGTCGTGTTTATTCTGTTATCATTTTGGTGAGAAGGATGTGACGTTTATTGAGCCAAGGGCATTTTACACCGGAGGGAAATTCTCCTGGAAATGCACCAGTGGTGACAAGGATAATTCCCTGGCAGAAAGCAGAAGGAAGATGCCTGGTTTCACTCTTGGAGAGTGTGTATATTGCTTTGAAATACTTTCCTCTGCCATGTTCTGATCCAGTGTAACACTCTGCTTAATGGAGGCAGCAAATCCAAGGCACTGGGGACTTGGGGATGAGATAGTTGAGCAGGGCCCCCAGCACTGACCAGAGCTGAAGTGAAGTTCTGCAGGGGGAATTCTGCCCGGCTGCAGCCTCAGCAATGCATTTCTGTCCCATTGCATCCACTGGTTCTGCATAACTCTCACCTCAACTCACCTCTGTGTGCTTGATGACAGCATCCTTCCTGGATGGCCTCACTGCTGCGCTTATCTCTCCTGATTTCCCAGTGTGGGCTGAGCCCAGCTGCACCCTATCGTGGGAAATCTTAGGACAGCAACAGCAAAAAAAGTCATTGTGAAGCTGCCACTGCCAAACTGCTGCATAAAGTTCCCCGGTGGCTTCAGAACATTTTAATTGTCTTTTTACGGCACATTTGGGGGCATTGTGAAATGTTTATTGTTTGAGACACTGTGTTCTCTTATGGGCTGGGGAACCGCCTCCGAAATGTGCTGCTGGGGGCTGTGCATGGCTGGAGGGGGCTGTGTTCTCAAGTTTGGGCTGTGATGTCAGAACCACAGCTGCTCTGTGGCTGAGTCCAAGGGAGAAGCATCCCTTGCACATCCCTTGTTTTTCAAAGCATAGATGCCAGAGAATGCAAACACCAGCATAGAAAAAGAAGGATTCAAAGAAAACCACTCCATGCAGAACTCCATGCAGAGCTCATCGGAGGCTGAAGTGCCCTTCTGTGCCTGCAGAGCCAGAGCACGTTGCCTCCCTGTTCCCATCAGGGTGATGTGTGATGTGATTTCTGGCTGTGTGATGGAGCTGTCATGGCCGAGGGCGGCTGTTACAGCTGCACCTGCACTGTCTCCTGTGCTGCCCTCAGGTTTTGGGTCCTGCCTCACGCTATTAAGTTGGATTTGATGATCCTTATGGGTCCCTTTCAACTCGAGATATCCTATGATAATGGGTCAGTGCTTTCCCAGTCCAACTCCCAGCACCCCGTGATTTCTCGTTAGCCCACAGTCCAGCTCCTCCCGGGTTCCCAGCACTGTTCTTATGACCTATTTAGAATACAATTTTTCTTTGAGCAGCCAGAAATCCAGATGGGCTCATGGGGCTGGGGCTGGCAGGATGCTTTTAGCCAGTTTCTGCTTTGCATGTCATCTGTGTCCCACACAGATGAGAGATACTGGGTACCTGCTGCACAGGATGATGGAGGGTCTGAGTGGGATTCAGCCAGTTCTACCAGCCTGCCTTAATGGTGTGATTCAGTGCAATAGGCATTGCACAGTGTTTTGCAAAAAGGCTTTTGGTGACCTGTGCTGGGACACTGCCCAGGTCAGTGCAGGAATTGGTGCTGCTGAACATCTGGCCATGCCTCCTTGCAGCAGAGCAGGAGCCTCACATGCCTCAGTTGTGCCCAGCAAACAGTGGGATCTGGCAGCACATTGCTTAATCAGAGAGGGGGATCTCTCTGCCTTTGCAACCCATGCCAGATGGCAGCTCACTTCCAAACTTGTTTGTCTCACACTTGCTGGCCCTTCTCATGAGCTGCTCCTTGCAGCTGGCTTGGCTGTGCCTGAGGCACACAGTGCAGGGACTCGCTTGACTGCTTTAATTGTCTCAAATTAATTACATCTCTGTGAATTATATAAGAGTGACATTTTTAGGGAACTAAAGGCCCTGTCTCGATGATAAGGAGAAACTAATGCTGTTTGCATCTCAACCAAGCGATTCAGACTCTCCTTGGCTGGGTTTGGTTCTTCATTTTAGGGTCTTGCTTCTCCATCACTGTGCCCATTTCTCAGTTCTAAACAAGAGATGCCATACTGGTGTAGGTAGTTTGAGTTCAAACCCCCTCTGTCATGCATATCTGATTTATTTATGGTGTCCAAAAGAAGTCTTCCCAGAGACCCTATAGCACAGTGCAGCAGTGCCTCCAGCTCCTGTGTGTTCTTCCATCCTGATCTGATGGGTAGGATGGCATTTTGCTGACTGTGAGACATTCACTGCCAACCAATGGATGCCCAAGCACTGAAATGCTTTGTTAATTTTTAGATAATTCTTTCCTCTGTTACACATCACAGTTAATGCTGGAGCTCTTTCATCCTCTGGTTTCTTTATGGCTTTTTAGTGAACACAGTTTGAAAATGCATCTTTGGAATAGGCTCAGACATGAAGGATGTAGTTGAGTGTATTTATTTTCCTTCATTGGTTGCATCACCTTTAACTCATAGACAGAAATCTGTGCTTTAAGCAGAAGGACATTTGGTGCACTATGCTGATTTAAGAACACTCAGGTTAGGAAATATGGAAATGTCAGGTCAAGGCTGCTGACCTCAGGTCCATTTTGGGGGTGGGAAAGGAGCTGTTAAATATAGCAGAGTTCTCTTTGACTCCTGTGGCTGTTCATACAGAACCCCTGGGGGTTTTGAGGAGGGTTGAAAGAAAAGGAACAATGGGCAGGAAGAACAATTATAACAAT